AAATTGAACAGTCTTTCAGCAACCAGTTGAATTCTACCCTGGATTTGGACAGGGTAGGCTGAGGTTCTTAATGACTTCTTTGACTCAGTCTTCACTGGCAAATGCTCTCACCACACCACCCAAGTCTTGGAAGGCAGACACATTCTCACAGACTGTGAGAATGAAGACCCTAGGCCCGCTGTAGGAGAGATCTGGTTCAAGACCATCTTAAGAACCTGAATGTACACAAGTCCATGGGACCTGATGAAATCCATCTGTGGGTCCTGAAGGAGCTGGCGAATGAAATTGCGAAGCCACTGGCCATCATATTTGAGAAATCATGGCAGTCAGGTGAAGTTCCTGACAACTGAAAAAGGGGAAATATAACCCCCATTTTCAAGGAGGGGAAAATGGATGACCCGGGGAATTACAGAGCAGTCAGTCTCACCTCCGTGCCTGGCAAAATCTTGGAGCTGATTCTCCTGGAAGGCATGCTAAGGCACATGAAAATCAACAAGGTGCTTGGTGACAGCCAGCATGGCTTCACTAAGGGGAAATCCTGCCTGACCAATTTGGTGGCCTTCTATGATGGGGCTACAGAACTGATGGACAGGGGTAGAGCAGTTGATGTCATCCACCTGGACTTGTGCAAAGTGTTCGACACTGTCCCGCATGACATCCTTGTCTCTAAGTTGGAGAGACATCAATCTGATGGATGGACCACTTGGTGGATAAAGAACTGGCTGGATGGCCGCACACGAAGAGTTGTGGTAAATGGCTCAATGTCCAGCTGGAGACCAGTAACGAGTGGTGTCCCTCAGGCTTCAGTGTTGGGATTGGTCTTGTTTAACATCTTCGTCGCTGACATGGACAGTGGGATTGAGTGCGCCCTCAGCAAGTTTGCTAGTGACACCAAGCTGTGTGGTTCGGTTGATACGCTGGAGGGAAGGAATGCCATCCAGAGGGACCTCGACACGCTTGTGAGGTGGGCTGATGCCAACCTTATGGAGTTTAACTATGCCAAGTGTAAGGTCCTACACCTGGGTCGGAGCAATCCCAGGCACAGCTACAGGTTGGGCAAAGAAGAGATTCAAAGCAGCCCTGTGGAGAAGAACTTGGGGGTTTTGGTTGATGAGAATCTGAACATGAGCTGGCTTCAGTGTGCACTCGCAGCCCAGAAAGCCAACCGTATCCTGGGCTGCATCAAGAGGAGCGTGACCAGCAGGTCAAAGGAGGTGATCCTGCCCCTCTGCTCTGCTCTTGTGAGACCTCACCTGGAGTATTGTGTGCAGTTCTGGTGTCCTCAACATAAAAAGGACATGGAACTGTTGGAACAAGTCCAGAGAAGGGCCACGAGGATGACCAGGGGACTGGAGCACCTCCCGTATGAAGATAGGCTGAGAAAGTTGGGGCTGCTCAGCCTGGAGAAGAGAAGGCTGCGTGGAGACCTCATAGCAGCCTTCCAGTATCTGAAGGGAGGCTATAAAGATTCTGGGGAGGGACTCTTCGTTAGGGACTGTAGTGATAGGACAAGGGGTAACGGGTTAAAACTTCAACAGGGGAAGTTTAGATTGGATATAAGAAGGAAATTCTTTCCTGTTAGGGTGGTGAGTCACTGGAATGGGTTGCCCAGGGAGGTTGTGAATTCTCCACCCCTGTCAGTGTTCAAGACCAGGTTGGAGGAGGCCTTGGGTGACATGGTTTAGTGGGAGGTGTCCCTGCCCATGGCAGGGGGGTTGTAACTAGATGATCTTAAGGTCCTTTCCAACTCTAACTATTCTATGATTCTGTGATTCTATGATTCTGTCATTCATTGACAGATGAGGAGGAAGTCTGGCTGGTGCTCCTTCTAGTCTGGCATCCCAAATTCCTACCAGTCTGCCCCTGGGGATGTCATGTCTCTGCCTAGATCTTCAACCTTCCTGAAAGGACTGGAAACTCTTTAGTTTTACTCCTTCCATCATTTAAAATACAAAAGAGTTTTGAATGAAAGTTCAATTTCCAGCGAACTCGAGTTCTGTCTTTTTAGTGGTTATGAACTATGGCCAAATGTTTTGTTTAAGTGCTGAGTAACTCTTTTTAGTTATGGCTATCCAAGGACAAATGGAAAAACAGGACAAGGACAAGCAAGAAAGAAAACAGTCTTTCAGAAACCCTCCTTTATTTCTGGGAAAGGACATAGATTTTTCAAGACTTTCCGGATTCTCTCTACTCCTAGAAGAGCTGGAGGACAATCCTACTTGCCATAAAAGCACAAATTTTCCCATGTGATTGTCCTGGTACTGATTGTCCCAGACTCTCTTCCTGCCTGGATTAATAACTGAGACAGTTTTCAGCAACTTTTAGTACCCAAGTCCAAAACTTGTAATGAGCTGGACATTGTCAATACTTAGAGCAAGAGCCTTTGGCCTAGTTATGAATAAATAATGAACTTTTTGAAGATGCCATTCCAGTGGGTGAATGTAGAAGTGAGGGCTGATGATTTCAGTGTCTCCTGGATCAGTCTAAAGCGGAGAATAATTGAGATAGATCCTAGGTACGTCTCTGAACAGAAGGAGCAGATGAGGGGCCATGATGAAGACATCAAAAATAAGAGAACCATGCCTCTCAAGGAGAAACTTTCATTTTTCCCAACATGACAATTGAAATGCTAGTCACAGTGTACTTGAACATGGTACGAGTCCAGTTGCCTGGTGAACCATGTGTAAGCAATCCATATGAGGACTGTACTAGAGCGACAGCCTTTTTCCAGCAGTGGAAAACAGGTATTTTCTCTAGCTGATCTCTCTCTTTTAAAGCAAACTGCACATGCGCATGTATGTACATATTTTTATGTATATATAGCCAATTTAATTAAACAAAATTCCTTACAAGCTGAGACTGCACAAGACAAGATTCAATCAAGAACTGCTTCTTTTTTTTCAATTCCCGTGTTCAAACAGAAGTCCCTTAGAAAGGAGGGCTGGATATTCCATACAGAAAAGTGTTGGCTTTTGAAACAGATTTTTTACAGAAGGTCCTAGTTAAATCATCTGATTGATTAACACAGATTTGGACTATGCCTGTGGAAATCACTGGTATTACAGGTTGTGTTGGCAACTAAGTGGGAAAAATTAGAGAAGAAAATCAGATCAGTTTAACTGAAAGTTTTAATAAAAGTTCAACTTCACGTGACTAAATTCTTCCCTCCCCCCATTAGGATGTGAATGGATTTTTCTCATTCAGGTCAAAATACTCAGTGTCACATATAATGTCTTGTTTTATGGTACTTTTAAGGAGAGGAAATAGTAAAGTAAATGCAATCCCTTTCATCCAGGAACTCAGTGATTAGAGCACTTATTCTGTGTGTAGGAGGTCAGGGTTATGTTCCTTCCTCATCTTGAGGACACTTTAATTGATATCACTCAGATATTAGGGCTTTATTTATGTGGATGGGGGAGATGTTCTTAACTCCTTTTGTTCTACTTTTATTGGGAAAATACTTGAAATATTTTGGAAGCCATGGGGAGGATAATTTTGTGACTTAGTGCACTCACCTAGGAGAAATCAGGTCTGTGCTCCAGGCTGCATTACACTGACTACTTAAGAGTTTAAATGTCTCCTGAAGCAGGGACTACAATCCTTTTCTGCTTCCCCCATGACTCATCCAACCATTTAGGATAAAGTTATTTTGTGCACTGAGCTCTAATGAGTGATTTATCCTATGTAAAATATAACAAATTGAGCATGATGGACTGCTTGACCCCAGGCAGACAGTGTGGCAAGTAGGTTAATGTGTGGCAGGCATGGGCTCATAAGGTGTCGAGGCAAAGACATAGAAGGGTGCCCAGCTCTACCACAGCCCAGTCTAATGCCTGAATAACATCTCTGCAGCTGCTCTGGAAGACTTATAAATCTAGCAACAACAAAATATTGGCCTAATGTAAGAAATAGCGGTGGGAAGATAAGAGAGCAGAATTAGCCAAAAAACCTTCTGTCTGGTTCTTTTCTTCATATCCTAGTCGCAGCTACAACTTAAAAAAGATAAGAACTGATAGTTACCTTGATTACTTGGTGTTTGTATGCTTGAGAAAAGAAAACTAAACTTTAAGACCTTAGGCACTTTTGTTGGATCAGACAGTATACAAAAAAAAACATTAGGCCTATAAAAGAAATATAGAAGACAAAAAGTAAATGAGCTTTCCAACTACAAGAACACTTTTTTTCTTTATCTTCCCTGTTTCTGGGACTGAATTCTGGGGCAGAGATACACCACAAGAGGCACTGCAATTAGCTTGCTATTAGTGATGGTGGAAACATTTTTAATCAAAGAAAAGTATCTCAAAGGTAGTACCAATAGGTTGGGACAGTCTCTTTCCATCTGGAGACAGAAGGAAAGGAGGAGCAAAGCACCTAAATTGTGGTAAGGGCAATCCTGTGTAGTGAAATGGATTACCTAGATGAGAAGGACTCGCTCACAACTTTTCTTGCCCTCTTACTCTTCCTCAATGAAAATCAGCGAAAGTCAGATGGATTTTATCACTTTGGTTTTTTGCTGCTTTTGCAGTACTTATATTAAGGCTTTCTTCTGCTCTCGCATTAATGCTTACCCTGCTTTCTTCTCAAAGCACTGGTCCTTTCCAGAATCACTGTCATCAAAAGGTTCTCTCACTGAGGACAATGCCAAAATAAACTGCTCGAGGTCCCACCTCCCAAGACTCTCAGGAATCTCAGCAGAGACTGATGAGTTAGATTTGGCACCCATTTTGTGTTTTAAATATATTATTTTTCCCTCTAGGTCATGGATATTTAGACAGGTGTGTTTGGAGATTTCCAAAAATTAAGGGAATGACAAAGGTTAGCTTTGTTATCTAAGTGACCAAAAAAACTCCCTCATTGCCCCAGCAAGTGAGCAGGACATCAGGGGCCAGCTGTGATTGAGTTTGTTTTGTTCTTTCTCTTAGTAACAGACTCTGTCCAGCAGAGGTGTTAAGGCCCTTATGGCCTGAATTCTTGCCAGTGTCATTCCTTCATAACAATACTTTGTGCTTTTGTATTGCCTGGGAGAGTTTGCTAAGGCCTTGTGAGAGATTGAACTGGGCATCTGATGCCACCTGTGAAAATCCCACTGGTAACAGCTAAAAATTCGCCTCTGTGCTTCTGCTGGAAGCAAAACTCTTTTCCTAAGCTGTGGTGTGACTCTCACTGCTGTGGCTGCCAGAGAAGGAAAGCCTTTTAATTGAAGTCTTACACCTGAATGACTGTTATCCCTGCAGGAAAGAAAAAAAAAAAACCAACAAACCCCCTCATGGGACCAACAGATAACTAATGAGTCTGTCTGCTGAGAGGCAGCAAGAGAAGCATGTCACCTTGTCTTGTTTGGTTTGGCAGAGCTGGAGCACTCGTAAGAGACGAAGCTGCTACAACTTGCCTCCCCAGCTCCCAGAGCCACACAGCCTCTGCTGCCAAAAGCGTTCTTCCACCGCAGCATGCGCGGCAGGTAAGTGTCTGCCAAATGACAAAACACAAACCTCCTAACAAGTAGCTGAGGGTAGGGTGGGAATTCCAGATAGAGACAAATCTATGTCCCTCAGGAGATCTGGAGCAAAATGATCAGTATAAGTATTTCACTGCTAATTAAGTTTTGATCCTTTGGCTTCACTTGAAACAGTTTGAGAGTATATCAACTTTGAGAGCAGGTGCTGACTAGCTTGAAAGCACTGGTCCATCAAATCAGGTAAGAGTTTTATATCCAGAAACTCCCCTAAAAGAGAGACTGTAACTTGCTAAGTGATAGATATACCCAGGCCCTTTCAAGTATAACATGTTATTGACAGAGTTATAATGCTTCTAACTTACATTTATTCCCCCAAATGTTTGCAAAATTCCCCTATGCTCTGAAAAAGCATCCTCTGTCTCATGTTCTGTCCTCTTCATTAAAGTGTATGGAATGAATGCCAAAGGAGACATAGCCAGGTGCAGCTTGGAAATCCCAGTAGTTGCTTCTCCTCTTCCTGCCTTGGTTTGGAATCCAAATCCAAACAGGAAAGTTTGATTTTAGAGGAGATGCCACTTCTGTTCCATTGTCTTCAAAACTCTCAAAGGTTAAGAGCAGAAGAAGGTTGGATGCATAGGACATCTTGTCCCCAGGTGCCAGAATATTTAGAGAAGTGTTCACCTTTTATTAGCAGCTCTTAAATTTTTCTTGGCTGACCAGAATGGAGAAATGCCCAGGAAATCTGCAAGTGAAAAATAATTAGCTGTGTATGAAGTGGGAAACTATGATAGAGAGGTCATTAAAAATGTGGGTTATGTTTTTCTGTATCTGAAAAACTTCTTTCTTAATGATCCCTGTGCTACAGAGAACAACAAAGCACGTTAGGATAAATAAAAATCTGTACCATGCCTCTCTACTGCTATGGCTGCCTGAGGACAGAATGCAGAATGGCACATAGTTACAGCAGCTTGCAATATGACCAGCTCCAATTGCTCCCAATCACAGTTTGCCTTCAAGTCACGGTTGAAAGATACATTTTTCTTATAAGTTGCTCCCTGAAATGTGGGTCTCTAATGATCGCTTAAAAGAAAAAGTCTTTCCAGTGTCATAGTACTGCATTCATGGGGCCAAAATGATTCTGTACCTTCCTCCTCAGTGAATGTAATGGATAGTTAAAAGATAGAAAAACATTTGCAAGTCTAGCAGTCATTCTTTTACTGTTCTTCATTGCGTTGCCAGTGTTCTGGAAGAAAGCACTCAAAAATTTCTGGTATGCCTTCAAATTTCTGCTGCTCATACTGAGAGCCAGAACTTGCTGGTATACAGGTGATCAATACCGGTAGATGGATTTTCCTAATTATAGTAAGGTTTTGAGTAAGGTATTCCCTCAAGTGTTGAGGTAGTGGTACAGTTACCAGCTTGTTTCTAGCCTTGTGGAATTTGACAGACAGCTGACAAATGAGAGTTTCTTTGTAAAAACAAAACCAGCAATACAGGGATGTTTTCTTCCCAGACATCTTCCTTTGTTATGGGAAATGTTTGCATGGCTTTCTCTGTCTCTCCTATTGCCTTGTAGGGCCCTTCTGTGACCCAGGGGTGTGGTGCTCTCAACACTTTGTGAGGTTTTTCACAGTACTGGCTCCTGAACAGCTAACACAAGATTACTGGACCAGCTGCTGTCTAAATTAATAGCATTGTGTAGATGTAACTGGAGGCAAAATTTCACCCCAAAACAGATTTAGTCCAATGTGCTTTGTACTGCGCAGCAGATCTGGGTTCTTCAACCTCCACTGCTAATGTGTCATTTGCCCAAATTGCACTGATTTTGTAATGAGGACTTCTTTGTACCTGTAATCCAATCAGAGTTCCTTACTACCTGAATAAAGAAATCTTCCTAACTGGACAGAAATAGTTAAAGGATTTCATTTTCCATTCACAGAGCTGCTATAAACCATCCATTAATGAATTATGACATCCATTAATGAATTATGACATAATTCATATTAATGAATTATGATCATCCATTAATGAATAATGAAGAGTATTTTACTGAGTTTAAGCATCATAAGTAAGCAGAGTTGCTCAGTATGTTGTGTGAATGAGAAGCAGTTGAAGTGTGACAGAAATTACAATACAGAGGTGTATATTCAGATCATCCATCCCTATTTACATCACAAGAAAATGTGACATCATTGCAGGTCCATTGTGTATGGTATCTCTGGTAAAAACCTTTGTGGTTTCATGAAGAAGTTGGGCCTAAATAATTTGCAAGACTGTGGAAGACTCCTGAGAACCTCTTCCATCTGGATCACAATGCTACAGGCCCAATGTGGTTGAATGAATTAGCCTATTGTTTTCAGCAGGGGAATAAAAAAATGGGGTTAGTAAATTGAGTAGAACATCCAACAACACTAGTCCAGCAGTTTTAGTGGTTATACCTTTCATTTGCTCTTAATTTGGATCACTGGATGATATTTAATCACATGATATTTGGAACACTGATGATAGTTAATTGCATGAGCTCAGAAACACAAGTTGGGAAGGAAATAAGAACATAGGATTGTGGCTCTCCAGTTAAAACACATTTGTGATGTCAGTTCTCCTTCTGTAGTCCATTTGTGCTCCAGCAGTGAGGATGAAGGCTGCTTAACACTTGTCTCCATGGGTTTGGTTCTGGGATGGAAGGATTTGCACATGTGATTCTATGAGGCTGTGGCTGGGGAATGTGTGCCTTCCAACCCAGCTGCTCTGAGGTAGGGCCTAACTGTTTCTAGCTGTACAGCATCACTGCCTCCTTCCTGAGGGCCTTTTTGCCGGGTGAAGCTAGCATGAGAGGTCACAGAGCAAGCAAGAGGCTTGGTGCCAGCTTGTAGAATCATAAAACACATGTGGGTTAGGAGATCTAAGTCTTGGACACAACTGAAACATAGGAAACAATCTGGCAAGCTTCACAGAGGCATTTTCTGTGCATGGTCGGTCAGCCCAATGTGCCTTTTCAGCACTGCCACCACACAAACAGCAATCTGTGGTGCCTTCCACTATGCGTTTCTGGTTGCCAGAGTCCCTCTTTGCTTCTAATTTATGTTAGTGAGGCAGTTCTAACTGAAAGGGATGAGAAAAAGCCATAAAGTTTGCTAAGCTTCTCCTCTTCTCTTCCATTCCTGCATTTGGCAGAGCTTGGTCGAAATGGTGAATTGTGCCACTCGCTCTGTTGCTTTCTTGAAGTAGTTAATGCATGGGTCGACTTTTGGCATGTCTAAAATTGACTCATTTAGCATGTCTAGAATTGATGTGTTGAGCCCAAACTGCAGTCACACCAAGTGGCTCAGTCAGTGCTGTGTCTGATACTGGCAGTAGAAATAATGCATAAGGCCTTCATGCTCGCACATCCCTAGGTTAAAAGACTATTTTCACTTGAATTCCCTGAATTGTCTTCTATGCTAGATTCTTCTGTGTGGGTCTGAAAATAAATTATGCATCAAAATTAGCGTTAGAGGCCACTGTGTCTTATCCCAATCGATACTGCCTGAGGCTTTTGATGATGATCAGGATGTGGAGAAGTTCCTGTGAAGGTGAAAGAATTGCTACATAATCTTCAAGTACCAAGAAATAATATTTAAACTGTGGTTGTTCTTAATCTACAAAAGTTTTAAAACATTGTTTGAAGCTGGTGTGCTAGAGGAAGCAGGCTAAAATCAGCTCAATCCTTCCTCACTTTAATTGCAGTCCTTTCCTTGAAGGAGGAGCAAAACCCACGTGTTTGATGTACTGCTATGAGTTTTCAGAGGAGCTGAGAAAGCCCAATAGAAATGTTAAAGCAATCTCCTTACCTCTGTTTTCCTGCCTCTCTCTGGGGTGGATATACAGCACCTCCAAGATATGGCAAATGTTCAGTTGCTTGTGAGGCCACGTCCCTACATTTCAGCTTGGAGCTACCAGCTGGCAGCAGCAGCAGCCCTGTGCTGTCCGGGTGGTTACAACCAGTGGCTTTGAAGTTCTGCCCTTCAGCTATCTCCTCTTGCATGCAGCTTGTGATACATGAGTCTGTGTCCTGCAGCTGTCTCCATTTAAGTCAGCAGGCATTTGAAGCACTGCTGGCCACCCCGGGGAAAGGGGCAAGAGTTGAACAAAATGTTCATCATCAATTAAACCATTGGAATGCCAGTGCAGAGTCTGATTCCCTGACACTTTCTCCTATAAAACCAGTGTCATGTCTGAGCTTTTTAATGGGAAAGAAAATAGGCAGCTGCCAAGGTCTGCTAGTTAGTATGAGTTTGAACCAAAGGAAAATCAATAACTGTGTCAAATGGTTTATAAGTAAGACAAGCTGACTTTTAGGCAGTGACTTCAGTAAGCTCCAGCTCCCCTTTAGACTACTGTATTCAGTTTGAAACTTCACTGCTAAATATGTTAGAGGAAGCCAACAAGATAATACCCAGGCAGCTAAACCAGCAGTGGGGTTTTAAAATGTTTCCTTGCAGTGAGCCAAATTCATCTCTAGTGTAAGTGCAATTCCTACTAAAGCCAGTTCTGAAACTGCTGCTGAAGACAGGTTGAAAACAGCAGTTCAGATCTTCATCTTGCATTACACTATCTGGGTTGTCTTCACTAGGAAAGACTTCATCATGCAAAACATAAGCAAGAGGAAAATATGAACCACCTGGCTGTTTTACCCATTTAGTCCTGGGCTGAATTTGCTCGAGTATCTCTGTTTTGTCTTTTATGCCTATCAAGTATGCCTGCCTGTTTTGAGCCACAACAAAAGCAGTAACAACAGACTTTGACACCTGTGTTTCCTCCAGCTGTGAGTCTCATCTTTTTTCTGCAAACCACTTTATCCGCTTCAGAATGAGGGGCCAGTTCTCAGAATTACAAACACTGCTCTGCAACAAATGGTCTCTTCATTTGCTTTATCTGTACAAGTGTGTGCTTCTTGGTCTTACTTCACTGTTTCTATGAACTTTACGTGCTGTGGGGTATGCCCCTGACTTACAGAGTGAGTT